CCATTTTGGCTCTGTCCCATCGGAGACAAATGGTAAATTCGAAGGCTCGGTCGTAACTCTCTAAAGAAGTAATATCAGGTACCCATCGGCACGGTCGGGTCGGGTCGGTTTGCTAGCCAGATTGAGGGCGCGAAGTGGCTATCGTGGTACAAACGGATCGCCCGACTCGTCGCCTCAAAAACAAAAGCGTTTGTTTTCAGGCGACGAGTGGGGCAATCGGCCCGACCCGACCCGACCTGATCCCATTCGCAACGGGCACCCGGTATAACGGACACTTGATCCAGTCAGCGGCAGACCAAAGGCAATGTGTGCGCGGCACATTTCGCGTCACCATACACAAACATCAGAAACAGGAATTTGCACCTTTCACTGCACGCATGTTCCTGCATTTAAGTTTCAGATACAGTAAACAGAATTTATTTTTTTAAAACCTCGATCAAACAAAAAACCAACAACAAACAAACAAAACAAAACAAACAACCCTGTTTGAATAACGTAGTTATTATGCTTCTTTTGTAAAGTGTCCCTAATACAGCGCGTCTTCAGTCTTCGAGCGTTGTCAAATAACTAGAATGCTCTCGCCCTCAATTAGTTGAATAAGCGGATACACTCATTTTTGTTTTTGCTTCTATTTTTAGTTACAATGAAAATAGATCACACCTCATGAGAGTTTGAAAAAAGAAAGGAAATCTATTGGCCATGTCTGAAATAAAGACCCATCCAGTTCCCTCTATGATGGTATGTGATAGTCTATTCAGAACACAAATATAAAAACCAAACTGGGCAAAACAGCTGAGAGTTAAACCAGCATATTAATTTAGTGATTACTTTACCGTCGATGTGCTTTCCCCGAGTCGCTACCTTAAAATTACAAAGTTCTATCTGCTCGGTACCTATTTTTTTAAATAGAAATTTTACTTAAAAAACGTTGAGTTTCACAACCTGTCCAGTCTTTTCGAACGCAATTCTTTGAATATCTTGATAACGACTCCGAATTATCTTACGATTTTGATAGTGAGGATAGAACATTAAAATTTGGTGTCGGACCTCACGGTCTTAGTAACTCAAAACAGCCAAAAACGCCAGACAGAACTATGTAATTCTCTGGTAGCGACATCTAACAGACACCCGAGCGCAAATAATACTTCATCACATTCACAAACCGATATCTCTTGAGTAATAATTAGACTTTCGCCGTTGCCTGCGCAGGGCGTTAGTTCGAACCCCTTTTGAAAAAAAGTGTTGTTTTCATCGAATGTCTCCTTCTGTCTGCTGGGACCGTGTACTTCAATCCCTAACTCATCCATATTGTATGAATAGGAGTGTTGTAAATTTTTTTAAAAATTATATATATATGAATATATATATATCATGATAGTAATAAATAGCACTTGTTCGGCGCAAAGTTCCCCTCAGTTGTGTGTACACACATACATACATACTTTCTTACATACATACGTACGTACGTACGT